ATTATTATGATTAGGTGTAATTAATGCGCAGTTTTGGCATAAACAGTAATTAATTAATTTGAATACTTTTTAGTTTTGGATTTGGAAACTATCGCAGTGTTTTTATAAGATTTTATTTATCTATTTTTTTGTTTTTCTTTCATATACTTTTTTTTAGAGATATTTTAATTAAATTTTTAATTTATCAAAACATTGGTTTAATACATAACAATTATTTATTACAAAGATAAAGCTAAAAATATCCCAATCATCGATAACGTGTCACACGAAGCCCTACGCCACGATAACGAATTCAAATGTTCAAAGAGAATACGACTAAAAATATTCCCCATTCTGTCATTATAATAACATTCAGTCCCGATACAGCGTTGCAATATCCGATGTATTCCGAAAGATATGAATTGCGCAGTTGTGACGGATCAATACAACCTACAAAGTTATGAAAGAAGAAAGTTCGGCAGGGCACGGGATCGTTTGGGCGTGCCCTGCCATCTCCGGCAGCCTAGTTGCGCCCTGTATGCCCTAATTTTGGCGTTGCGACGCAGCGCCCCTGTGGGCGCCGTGCGCCTGTGTGCGTGCCGTCACACGGCTGTACATCACGTAGGCGGAATGAGCCAGCGCGGGAACTTTAAAAAATCAATGAGAGCGCGTATATTGTTGCCACGTGACGCGTGTAGTGCTATAACTTTATGAATATGATACTTAGCCGGGTGACTAGGGGAGACTGGTTAGCAACGCGTGCTGGCTGGGGTATCTACCTTTTGTTGAGATGCGGGGTTAATTCATTCTGTTGCGAAATACGTTGGGGTAATTTATACGCTAGGTATTATTCAGTTAAGTAATTATAACGGAAACCGTAATAACCGTTTAAAATGTTAAATTATTTGATGAACACGATATGGTTGACTACTAATTTATGAGGTGTGGACAAGTGTAGGTAGGTATTTATATCTGATAATAAAATATTAATAAAAGGAGAAAATAAAAATTAAAACAGCAAAACAAAAAAAAAAAGAAAATATGTAAATAAAAAAGGATATTATACATCCAAATATTATTTTAATGCTATTCCATATTTTTGTGACCAATTTTTATATTTCGTACAAAAAGCCTTTATTTACCATTCTACAATACAGGTATTACTAAACTAATCTGTTCAATCATACTCTCCAACGCTCAAAACCGTAATAAAATTGGGGTCAGTCAAACGAATTAGATTACGCCGGCTCACCGCGGCAAAGTAGCTTGCAGCGCACTTAGCCGCTAGGTCACAGCGCTGCAGCGGTCGCGCCGCGAAGCACGCTCGTGCTCCGCCCTCGCACGCCGGCACGCCGCGCGCTTGACATGCGCGCCTTGCACGCCGCGCCGCCCTGGTGATGGGACTCCCAATCGATAATGCCCCAGAATCCCCAGCCCCTCTCTCCTCTCCCGATGCCCTAGCTCACCATAACCGACAAAATATAACATCCCATTCCAGCAATAAAGTCCTTTTTACATTACAGCCTCCTCAAATACATTTTCAGAGCGCTTAATGGCTGCTATAAAGGAACTTTTAACACAGCAATCGCTTTGTATTTCATTGTTTTCGAGAGAAATGTTATTGGATTTTTTACGCAATTGTAATGTTTCAGAGTTATTGTTTTGTTCTTTTCAATAAAACCGTTAGCAATGGAGTGTGTCTCGAGTTTAAATACTGTACATAGTCCTAATTTGTTCATCATCTCATCACTGCACAAACATCGAATACACTACGATCATCATTTGTGAGAGCGACGTAAATGGACATGGTGTTGGTGGTTATTATAGTTTCCTGGGCTGCCCGAGCTTGGAAGCGGCAGATGTGTTTCCTGGTGTGGCGGCGAGTCACCATAACCCTGGTCCACGCGCCATCTTGCAACGTCACAGTCTACGCCATGCATCGGTGCAACTGTCTCCTGAGAATGGCATCTTATCAATAGAAAATCTGATATTTAAAACGTTTGCAATACTCAACCATGCAATACAATATCGCATCTAAATGTAGTCAAATAACGACAGAATAAACTTATTAATTCAGTCGTGGTGAAGCCGTCCTTAGAATTTAGTTCAAACCTGTTCAAGTATTAGCGGTATCAATTATAATGATAATGCATTTAGAATTTTAGATAATAAGAACCAAGCTTTAGGATTGTAAAGCATCATTCAGGAATGACTCGTTCAACCGAAACTTTCCCACGAGACGCTTTTGGTGAATTTGTGCTTAGAATTTGTAAACACTATATTTTTGTAGAGTTCTGTGCTATGCTTTTTCTGTTCTTTTATGTAGATTTTTATGTGTTCTCGTCGACTTTTTGTTGTCTATTATATTCAAATGCTTTTTCCAGTTCTTTAACAGCACATTGTAGCTCTACAGTTGATGACTTTTACTTACTCTTCACTTCTATTACACTTCCAGTATTTTTTAATTTTACCTCGATATCTAATTTTGCAAGAATTTGCCCTATCGGCCAGCATCGTACTAACTCAATCATTTTTTAAGAAAAAAATCTAACACTGAGTACATGATGCTGATGGGAAACACGGTGGGGTAATCTTAAGTTATTAAAAAGGAAATGCCAGCAATCTAAAGCCATTTACCAATTTTAGGTATGGTACTGAATTGAAAACCATGGTGTGACGTTAAGAGCCATCTTAAATCTTAAATTACAGTCCCTATTCACTTTACGCTAGTAAAGGGCACTCTCTACATTTGCCTAGCGACATTTAATTGCTGAGCGTGCAAATAATCAATTTATTATGAAATAACAAAAGTGAGCTTTGCGAGTATTTTTTTTCTGTTCTTAGTTTATTTTTTTATGATTTTTTTTTCTGCACTTATACTATTTTAGAAATATTTATTTACGTTAGGTCGCTCTTTATTTCTAGAAGCTTTTAGGTAAAGTACCTATTAAACTTTCCGAACTATCTGATTGGCATTTATTTATCTATGTATGTGCTTCAAGCTTGTGCGCTTTGAAAATAAATAATATTTGTAACTATAAATGTAGCTACCGTCCCTTCTAGAAGGCACACTGTTCAAAAGCAAGATCACGGGAATAAATAAAAGCTTGTAACAAATGTTTTTTTATTGCTGTTCATGCAAGCTTGCCTTATACAACTTGATGTTATGTGATTTGTGCATTATTAAGATTTCTACCTGCTTGTTCAGGGAATCAAAAAAAGAATGTCTAGACGCCCTGCCTCTAAAGCGCTTCTATTAAAAGATTTTTTGTTCTTGTATTTCTAAAGGTCTAGTGCCAAGGGCCCATAGGCCAGGTAGCCGAGTCGGCTTTGTTCGCTGGAGTACTTTACTATCTGGAATAAGATATCTTTTCACTCAGAACTATCCGAGACCCATAGGATGAGCCCTTCTATAGAATGTAAGTTTCTATAGATAAAGTACATTAAATATTTCTAACGGCTGTCGAGTTTCGTAGCGCATGGAACTTAAACGATGTTTTACTTTTTTCTTAGGCATACTTTTGTCGTTTTATACATTTGTATCTTTTACAGCTTCGTTTTGTTAGAATTGAAAAGTGCGACATTTTACTGTGAACATCTACCGACGATTGTAAATTTAACGTATTCAAATCATGTCACATTAATTCAAAATACAGCAATAAAATCGGCTTCCTTGTCTACGATTCTATAATCGTCACCTAACACAGTAACACTTGCTACAGATAAATAATGATCATACATTTTTAGATGCCTACGCGTAAATGAGAAATGTAATTCCTGCTTGAGGAAGTTAGTCGTTCCCAGTATAACTTGTCAAAAATAACTCGAGGTAAAAACTTTGTACGGCCGCACAATACAATCTAAGTAGCCCTACGAGGGCCTCCGAATCCGAACCACCTGCTACTACCCAGGTATTCTGTGTACCGTTACCGGTGAACAAACTACTGCCCATAATCACTACTTGTCTAGTTTACTAGCATTGGAACTTAAAGTGATTACGTTTTTTGTGGGACTCTATCTAACTACTTTCGGCTCGACAGCTTCGAAGTTTGGTTACATTGAATAGGTCTCGGCCTCGTATTCTCTAGTTGTTCGACAGCAACAGGAAAATGAGAAAGGTTATTGTATTATGGAATAATATGTCAGTTTAGCGAATAATGTAGCTTGGTACCAAGTTTATTATTAGTGGTGTGCTAATAGAGAATAGTGTTTTTAAATAAGCTGCAACTTGGCTGGTTGATTACATCATAACTTATTTATTTTTTACTATAATAAACAAAAAATAAAACGATAAAAGTACTATTTAGATAATGTTAGCGTCTTTAGGTCACCCGATACAAAGATATTGTATCAACCAGATTTAATTAACTTTACTCTATCACTATTTACGTCAGTGCTCACAAATAAATGTATTATCTACAACAATATTGGGCGTAAAGTATTTACATTTCATGATGTCATAATGTAAATACTTTACGCCTTTAAGCTGAAATTCAATCGATGAAGTGCGAGGGTTTTTGATGAAGACCGACTTAATATTAGCACCTGTTGAACAATACAACATTCGTAATGAATTAAAGGTACTACCTTTAATATGTCGTTCGAGCCCAGTTGTATAATATGCTAAGTAGGTAGCGTGTACTTCGGCACGTGTAGGTGTTTTTAGGTCAAAGGGAGCATCTGCGTACTGTTATTCAAGTATTTCATGTAAGCGTAAACAATTTAACGTTGACTAGGCTCACAAAATATTTGTTTTTAGCTAGGAATTAAGGTAAACAGACTTCACTACAGTGGTTGATGATTGATACTGAGTAGGAGCTCCACAGATGTGTACTTTTATGAATTGTAGGTACCCTAACATTTACATCACATAAATACTTAGGTGCAGAAGAATATAAATGTTTGGGACAAATATTTAGTTACAACTATTGTTTTTAATAAGACTTGATACCTATTCAAATGTTAATCAGGACTATCAGGAGTCATTAATTTCTATCGTTATCAGATACGGATAGGTGCGGGATTCGAACCCACACCTATTCAATAGTTTTATATGACAGCTAAATGATCATCAGGTGTTTGTGGTGAGTATAATAGGAACTGCGCGCGTTGACCGAGAAACTTAATGGCTGTGAAGGTTAAATCACAGTAATTACGGGCCTTACCCCTGGTTAAGCTTACGGCTAACCATAAGAGATTGACTTTGTTAACTTAAGTTTCAGGTCGATAACATTTTGAACGAGGAACTGAAATACTCTTTTTTGGTGGATTAATATGCAGAATTCTAGATCTGAAGATGCAGAATCAACATCTCTAAAATCTAGTAATAACGTATGCATCGGAAAGTTTCTGCGATTAACTACACTTAGCAAGGAGAAAACTGATCGCACGCACCTAATTTACTCTCAATCTGTATGCCTCAGGATTGGTCATTCATAACGTCTGCATGCAGCGGCTGCGGCATGGAGAAACAAGAAACAAAAGATGCAAAGCAGTGGAGATGTGTGTATCGTTCCGTGAGAATGGTCGCGAGCTATTACAGCTCACAGTTAGCCGTTACCTAGCTCATTGTTCCGCACACGACCGCTCTCATCTAGGTAATTGTGGCCCCCACTATTGTTAATTCCATTTCGAGACCTACTACTGAGTTTTTATGGCTCGCTGTCTAGATAATGTTTACTTTGTACGCGATGCAACTTAGTGCGTCTGTGCGTATGATCAGCAGACTACATTGGCTTAAACTTTAATGTGAGGCATTGGTGTCAAAAAACGCACAACACTAAAAATGGCTGGCAAGTGTGAGCAATTCTTTTGCTGTCAACGGGTGGTGGTGATCGTACACCATCAAAAGACAAACATCATAATCATATAGGTACACCTCTCTCATTTATAACCCATCATCAGTGATATAATTTCTAATACGCATACATACATACATTAAATTGCTTAGTGAAAATATCATCAAAACAAAACACAGAAGTAATTTTACCGAACGCTTCAATGTCTGTAAGTACCTTGCGCCATAAATAGAACAAGCTCCACAAACATGTATAAAGTTAGGTACAATAACTCAGATATCGATTACGCCCGTTACCAAAGCAATAAACAAGGAAGTTTCCTGTTATCCCAGCCACGAGATCGAAGTTACTATAGCAACGTAGTACTGTTTCCATAATAGCGTAGTACTAGAAATCCGGCATGAATCGAGATAGCATAAAAATGAATTCGTTGATGGTAGCGCCCTCGGGCGGAGCTTCGGTGAAAGACGCTCGTCTTAAACGTGTGACGTCGTGAAGCAGATGCTTGAGTTTGATAAGTAGTCTAATAGATGGCGGTAGGTGTATCAGAATCGCGAAGTTTGGTATTTCAGGCGAACGGTTGCGTGGGTGGTGGTGATGAAATATGGTAAAATAGTGGAAAAGTTTTATCAGTAGTCTCTAGAATGTCTGTTGGTATGTAAATAAGAATAATAACCTGGATTGTTTAATCAGTCTATCAAATCTATCAAAACAAAACTTATTAACCTTCAGTCAGATAATTTCAGTCAGCCTGATAGACTGAAATTATTATTAAATTTTTTTTTTCGCATTATTGATTTATTTATTAGGTAAATATGCCTACAACTCCTATCTACATTATTTCAGTAAGTATACTACGAAACTCAAGTTCCTGCTGAAACGCCGATAGATGGAGACACCAGTATCCGAATAGCTCATCCTTTGCAATAAAACTTTTTTAGTAAAAATTTTTTATGTTTTTGTTTTATTTATCATTTTATTTATTTAGTTTTTGGTTCATTATGCATGTCGTTGAATGTAATTTCAGGGGCGGAATTTGTGACGTCTCGCCGTGGGAACCTCATGATAGTCCATGAGGGTAGGACGTTCATCCACGAGAGATCCATGGGTACCGTGATACCGAGGTCTAGGTGGGTGTGCAACAAAAAAAGGTGGTTAAAATGTAGAGCGTCCCTGACTACTGTTGATGGAATCATTGTCAAGAAATATGGAACGCATAATCATCATTGACAATGTGGCTTGTAGGTAATTACGGAAATTTTTACTTCTTCTGCCTGTATGTTAATTGATTTTTTCATTAGGATTCCTTAGCTACTTGCTTTTCAAAACAAGATTTTTTCTGTTTCTTTGTTATATTCTGCAAAGAAAAATATAGAATAACGACTCACTTAGACACCGGCAAACAATTAGGAGAATTATTCATATATCTACTCAAAAATTATTTTCATACCTACATTCGTCATACCTCATACGTAGCTTATTGCTAAATGCCAAGTTTTTATGTCTGTATGAAATCCACAGGAAAACTGACATCATTCATAAAGATAACATTCCATTATCAAGTATGAGTGTTAGAATCTAAAATCTACATTGTTTTCCTGTAATGTAAAATTTACATTTTTGTTGTTAAGTATTTTCGATAAATTAAAACATAACATAAACACACGATCAGCCGATAAAGTCGATCAAATCCGTAAGGTTTTCTACCTCAATGAAAAACAATTAGTTTAAAAAAAAAACGTAGTCGCATTAATGGTGCATATTGTAGAGCTCGACTCTATGTACTGTAAACTGTTTTTATTTGTACATAACGTTGACGATATTGCAAAATCTATATCAGTTGTTGTGTAGGTTAATGAATATGTAATATTATGTATTAGGTTATGTTACTAATCAGTAAAGGCGTAAATGCGTAATGCCTTATTATACCTCAATGGTAGAGAGGTAACTTATGAATGTAGTGTGAAATGTTTCTAAGCTGTTCAGAAATAAGCTAAGTAGAAGATAATCGTCTAACGACAATAACAAATAAAATAGGGGCCTTATGCCCGTTTTCACCATCAATCCCTAATTTTTAAGTGACCTCTATGGTAACACTTAACAGGCATTTTGTTTTCATACAGGTCACTTAAAAATTAGGGATTGATGGTGAAAACGGGAATTAAACTAAGATCTAAAAATTAAAATATAGTCGAATAGGTATATTTTCCGACGAGGACCTCATAAAGGTAGCAGGAAGGCGCTGGATGCAAGCCGCTACCAACCGGCCTATGTGGAAATCATTGGGGGAGGCCTATGTTCAGCAGTGGACGTTCTATGGCTGAAATGATGATAATGATGATGAGGNAGATGAGCTATATTATTTTCAATGGGATCACTGCCATATTATTACGAATTAATTCGAAGCTTAGAACGCGATGATCAAATTAAGCATAAATTGAAGCCTGCAACTGGTCAAATATTTGTGAATTTATGTAATTAACAGTTTGGAATGTTGTAATTATAATATAATAAAAATGGAACATAGACTTTATGTAAAAGCGCCATGTATAAAAAAAATGTATATGATTTATTTTAATAGTTTTTTTTAGCTCAATTAATGAAATATGGTGCTGTATGGCAGGTTGATATTTAATGTCGGTACATTATTGAAATAGAAGAAAATGTAAGTAGAAAAGTGCCTTGCAAAATGAATATGTATTTACTTTATACGTTGTTAACTTTTGCGAATAAGACTACACTTAGGTTATTTTGTCTTTTGTATTAAAGAAATTGATTATGTTTTAAGGCATTTAAATAGATAATTTTAAGTTTCACGGCCTTTGCTTATTAGTGAAATGTGTTGTGTACTTTAAATACTNTAAATACTAAAAAAAACATTCCTACGTGGGTGCTGTCGTAAATGTAATTCAAAATACTTTTATATGACTAGGTAGGTATTCCAATAGCTTTAAACAAAATTGTAGATTAAGAAATGTGTATTATCTAACACAAGTAATATTAATTTGAATTTGTATATTGTAAAATAATTATCATTTAAGAAATTATGAAGTTATGTTTGTAAACAAAATAATTGGATAAATGAAGAACAATATTTTTGTTAATTTAGTTAGTGTTTTTAATTTTGAATGTAATTGTTATAATGATTTTAAATAATTGTATTAGGTAATAATAAGAGTTATACTGTTAAATTTAAAATAGATTTTAAATAGCAAAATGAAATAAATTTAATTTTTAAACTATCCATCTTTTATTTGTTATTAGTTAAAGATATCTTGCAAAACACTATAAATTTTATAGGGTTGTGTAAATGAGATGAATGTTGTCTTCTTGCAGAGGCGTTCGTCAGATTCCTGAAATGCCAGGGCAGACCCTATTCGTTCTACGACCTAGAGATAGCCTTGCACCACTGCTCCAACGACTAGACCGAGTTGAAACCATTCTGGCTCTGGTTCAGATCCTTTTTAGCGGAAAATCTGAAGTGCACGGATTCCACCGCATATCTTTATTTATTTTCTTTATTAGGAAAACATATCTATATATATAAAAATGAAACCCGTTTCGCGTTGTCACGGCATCACGTGTGAACGGCTGAACCGATTTCGACAATTCTTTTTTTTAAATGTTTGTGGAAGTCCAAGGATGGTTCTTACGGAAAAAAATATTAAGAAAAACTCTACGCTAAGGCGGTACGAAGTTCGCCGGGTCAGCTAGTAGCTTATATTATCATAACACAGGTAGCATAAAAAATAGTCTTACACAAGGGGTCCTAGGAGTTATATCTTGCTAGCCTAGCGCCTATTTCCTTCTTCTTTCTATCCGCGATCTTTTATCATTAAAGACACTTCTGCCTTGCAACAATAAATTAAGTCAAATATTTATGAGCTAGGTGAACCATGTAAGCCTTGGTACTCTTGCCGTATTAAGTGTAAGGTTAATGCTGGGTTGCATTATCTTACTTTAACAAGCGTCAATAATCTGTCCATACAAAAAGCACCGGTTATGGTCATAGTTACGGTTAAAGTTAGGTGGTGCAACTCAGCCTTAGACGCTACTAAAGTTACATTTATTCGGGCTGATTGAACTTAATATCACCGTAAATATTTAAACGGTTATTTCAATACTGAATTGAAACGCTCTACATTTATGTATGTGATTTTTACAATTGAAACTTCTCTCTTCTACTTCTTTTCGATCTAGTGCTGGAATGTGGATATTTTTGTCGTGGTATTGTAGAAGTAGATTATGTATTTAAATAGTAAGTTAAGTGAAAAAACCAAAGACAATATCAAATGCCTTGTACATATATACAACAAAATCATATTATGGTTGTGAAGTAATTTAAAGGTATTATTTAAAACAGTATCTTTCCCACTGATTCAATATCTTAATTGAAGCGAAATTTATTACGTCAAGTGAGAATAGAGTTAAGTCATTTAAATTTAATATGATTTTACGGTAAACGTTCCATAGATTTTTTCTTCCTTAAAAAGTTATTTTATTATTCGTTTATTCTTTTCTTAAGTGATTTTAATTTAAATTAGGTTAATTATTAAAATGTTGAAGATGTGCTTTTTGAGACGTTAAGTTCATGTTTACTGCCATATTATATTGAAAAACTTTTCGCTTGAAAATGAAGTCCAAAAATAAGGTTAGATTTCTTGTTTTTAAAATACTATCATAATCTTTGTTGAAAGCTTATAATGCTTACTTGAGCATGAACGCTATGATGATGTCGTGAAATATCAAACAACGAATATTTATTACATGATAATTTAAATACTAATTATGATGATATGATGTGGTATCAATTATTGTAATTTTAAAATTGAATATAATGGCTTTAAAGCTTCTCTTGACAATAATAAAAAATGTAGAGCTTTGTTAGGTTAGTATTTTAACTTCGTTCGTTCGTTCGTTTCAGCCAAATGACGTCCACTGCTGGACTTTGACAATGAATTTTAACTTATTAACGAATTTAAAGTAATGCTTGTATTAGTGCTAGTCTAGTCAATTTTAATAAATGTGCTGTTTAAATCAAACATGTCTTTTTAATATACATTTTTGTAGGGACAATATCAAAATTGTAAAAAACCAGAACCCAAAAAAATAAAATTACTGTCATTTGGTCAAAATTTCTGTAGGCTTAATTAACTTATTTTTCTCCAAGCTCTAAATTCACGTTCTTTCTCATATTTAACTAACAACGTACGGATCACATATTGGATTAGANGGATTAAACGCTTTCATTTTTTTTAATTATACTATTTGTTTTCTATCAATCGAATATTGCTAACCGACGATTTTAAATCTTTATCTCCCATAGGGCCGATAATGATTCCGACTCGCAGTGGTAAGAAGCACCTTCTCATGCTGGACGGGTATACATACTCCCAAATCAATTACAGCGTCCGCTGGATCTGTTCCTCCACGGCCCAGGGGTGCCCTGCGAAGCTGAGGTACGAAGAGGGGTTCATTAAACGAGTCTGCACCGACCACAACCACCCGCCCCCGGTATACGTATACAAGGACGGCCAGTACATCAAAATACAAAAGAGAGTCAATACGGATACGTCTAGGGTATTTTAGGTATCTTTGGTGTGTGGGCTTTATGATGCCAATCGGGAGTAGCAATAAAATAATGCAAATTCTGAAATTATTCTAAAGGCTCGCGCTCACGGGTGACTTTTGTCGCCTTCTGTCACTGACCTCCATACATCTCCTTGGACTTGGTACGAGTGACGAAAGAAACAGTTACGGGGACAAAATTACTCGCGAGCCCTATGACATTGGTTAGTTAAAAAAATATTGACTGTGTTCTATTAAGGGTTTCCCACACTGCATGCGTTCTGCAATATTGAACAACATTCATACATGATGCAGGCTGCGTTCATTATGACATGACCGCTACCTGCTGAACGCATTCAGTGTAGAAAATCCTTTAATCATCATATTAGTAAGACAAGCAAATCTCGACTGTGTAGTTTGTTTCATGAGGTTGACATTCCATCGTTCATGCATCTGGGCATGTCACATACGACCTTACCTACTGTCAAAAATATTGCCAACTCATTAATCCCTTACCCCTGGTTAGCTGCCCTGTCAGGACATTACATCTAAATGTTATCTTACTTTAAGTAGATATGTGGTACTTAATGGTTTATGTTGTTATTTGAAAGCTTTAGATTTTATAAAGAAATATAAGTACATCAATTAGTTTCATCTTGTTTTATTTCTACACAATGGTCAATAACTAAATCTGAGACGAAGACGTATAGAGAGGAAATTCATACACTTGTATATCCTGAGACCATTAAGTATAAATGGTGTCTTTTGCATTTGCAATTAAAGAGTTTTAAAATTCAGTAAAAGTGTCGACACGTGAGAAGGCTTTATACATCTTACTTCTTTCTCATCCATCTACGTTCTTCCTTAGGACCAGTATTGATTCCAACTGGGCGCAGCAATAAGAATCTCCTGATGATGAACGGGTACACGTATTCCCAAATCAACCACAGTCCTCGGTGGCTGTGCTCCTCGTACCGCCGCTGTAAATGCCCCGCGAGACTGCGCTTCGATAACTATCAAATAGAGCTCTTTGACACCCACAACCACCCTCCTCCGAAATATGTGGTTGATAGTGGAAAATATGTCAAGATTTCCAACTGATACTGAACCTCGTTCTCACCGCTGCAACTTCTGTGTAGCCAGGATTTCTTGACCGTCAACAAAAACCCAACCAGTGAAGGTCAAGTTTGTCCCAGGGGAAAATTAAATTGTTATTGGACCCGCAAGGAAATTAATCAGAAGAACATAGGAGGAGATCGAAGTTAAGGTTCGACTTCCCTCCAGTCCAAAGCGGATGACAGGTGCCAAAAAAAGCTAAAAGTAACCTTTAAGAAAAGATATCCACCACGGACAGGAAACATCAATTATGGGGCCTATCTTGTGAGCTCTTTGCAACTGATAATAAACAACAAGTACTTACAACTTTTATCATTACACCTCTATTGCCCTTTTAGATTTCTCATCAGTTACCTTTCATAAAAAAATTCTCTCCAACAGCTTTTATTTTCCGCAGAACAACCGATTATGATCCCGACTCGGAGTGGTAAGAAACATCTCCTAATGCTGGATGGATACACGTACTCACAGATCAACTACTCCGCGCATTGGCTGTGCTCGTCCAAGGCGCAGCAATGCCCCGCCAAGCTGCGGTATTCGCATGGGATCTTGGAGCGAGTCAACCTAAACCACAACCATCCACCTCCGAAATACATCTGCAATAACGGAGTGTATTTTAAAATGTAGTATTCCTCACACTACAGAAAACTTCAGAAAAGGTTTAATATTTTTTTGAATTTTCGATTATTCTTGGGTTAGTTGTCACTGTAGAAAAAGTAACATTCGTGACGTGATATGTAGTGATCGCTTTGCTATGTTTGTGAAATAAATCTTACGAATAATTACTTTATCTACAAGCCCAGATTTAAAAAAAATATTTAAAAGCTATGTGTCACATACGGTTATGGTGGTAGAGTCCATCAATAAATATTCTTCGTGGAACTTTTATGTATGTATTTCTCATTTTCTCAATTCACCGGAGTTTACAAAACGATTCTTGAAAAATAAGAGCCATTTCATTTTGATTTTGTGTTCAGGTACAGGCGAAGGGCCGATATTTATACCAACGAGGTCAGGAAAGAAGTTTCTCTTGATGCTCGACGGGTATACGTACTCGCAAATCAACTATTCCAATCACTGGGTGTGCTCGTCCAAGGCGCAGCAGGTGTGTCCAGCTCGCTTGCGCAGGTATGAGACTGGAGAGATCAAATTCACTAACACCGTGCACACGCACCCACGCCCCAAATACCTGTTCAAGGATGGAAAGTACATTAAATTGTAGATACGTCATTTAAAGACAACTTCTTATCACATCGTGCGAAGAGCTGTCCGTCTCTACAACCGACGTGAACGCCTCAACGTGACCACGACCGAAGCGATTAAGAAGAAGAAGACTTATCACATCAAAACTTGTAAATGTTTAAATGAAAAGCAGGTATATGAATAATATAATGTATCCGAAGATTGATGAGAATCGTTAGTAAAAAATTATATACTAACGCCCGTATTCACAAACTGAGGTCTTACAGTGCGCGTGGACGCACAGGGTGACACATAAACCAATCACAGAGCTCTATTTAAAGCTGTGCGTTCGATTTGCTGCTTCATTTAAGCAAGCATGGTTTGTGAATACGGGCGTAAAGCTTTGTCTATAAGATATCACTTTATAGCAATAAGATCGTCTAAATTGTGCCGTATCTTTTTCTTTTCTTGTCTTGTGTGGTCTATAGTAAAGAGTGTTCTATCTATGTAGTTTTTTGAACCTATTTCTATTTGAACAAGGTTTACAATACCGAGTGAGAATAATAGTGAATCGCCACCACAGATTGCACAATAGGTATTTTACTCTATAATATATGAGAAAAAGTCGATAAATGTATTATTATGATAGTTTAAGCAAATCAATAATCAAATCAATGATATTGCTAATCATTTAATCAAAATGTTAGTTTTAAGTAACAGAATAAATAATATCCCACAGAAAGTTTTCAGTTTCCTTAACTTGTTTTAAAAACACCATGAAATATAAACCGCCTTGTGGTTCCAAATTACAGAAAAAGATTTTACTCAAAGGCAACGGAAAAATGTTCAACTTGTTTATGAAATCAGCTATTTTTATTGATTATTGATTTTGATTTATGTAACTATTAATGAATTCCAGTGGAATTGGAGTACTCCTATAGTGCTTACGGGACGACGATGGTCATTTACAAGGGGTTCCGTTTCTCCAAGAATTATCAAAATGGCAACAGGATTTCATGGAAGTGTAACAAGAGGGCGTGCAATATGCGAATCCACACCATTGGAAAAGATCACTTTTGGGTTAGAAACCAACATAATCACACATAGTACATTATGATGTGACTTTCCCTAAACTGGGTTTTTTAAGTAATTTAATTTTAGTGCATAATTTGTATTGAACAATTTACTTAGTCATTTCAAGTTTTATACCCGTGATAATTTAGTACATATTATTCATCTAGTCTATGTAGGATAAGTTATTTGTTGTCCTTATATTATATGTAATTATACTTATACTAAATATTTAAAAAAAACTGTAGGAATATGTATATTGGAGGTAAAACATAGTGTTGTAGATGAAACATAGGATTTTTTGTCTAAACATGTACGAGTATAAAGTATTACTTAAAGCTACAGCACCTTACGGAATGCCAAAACTACTCAGTTAATGTCAAGTATTTCTAGTCTCCAACTGGCCGCAATGGTTTTTGAAGCTCAAAAGCAGTTTTCTATCTAAACTTAATCACCTAAAATAATATTCTTCTGTAAGATTTTACCATATTACAACAAAATTCATACATGACTCTATTTTGTGATTTTTTTAGCATTCCCTTGATTTGATTCCCCTGAGTTTATTTCCATTTGTGATTTATGGTAACGTAATATTTCATCTTTAAGAGCTATTACTAATCTAAAATGGCTTTCCAGATGTTCAGTTCATACCCACGGAGAAAGGAAAATACATATTGGTGCTAAATGGATACACATACTCTCAAGTGGGCGGGCGATTCTTCTACTGCTCGTCGAAGCATACCGGGTGTCGCGCGCGGGTCCGCATGATGTCGGGCAAGCTGGTGTCTTCAGGCGACGAGCACAACCACGCGCCTCCCTCCCACGCCCGCTACGGCAACGGGGCCTTTGTCCAGCTCAGGCCTCCCAGAGGGATGCCCCTCCCTCCCACCATCCTGCCTTCCCCAATCACCTCCCCCAGCGCCGCAACCCTTGCCCTCCAAGCCCTCAACTTGCCCCGACTCCTGCCCAAAACGGACCTCTGGCTGCGACCCCCCAACCCCGAAGTCAAGAAAGATCCGTAAATTATAGCAATATTATTGTGATGTATTTAATTGACAGCACTAGACATTGCGACGAAAATGTGATAGGTTTTAATAATTTACTTCGGAATTCACTCACACGTTATTTTCCTGAAAATCCCGGGCTTGGATAAAAAGCAGCCTATGTCGAAATCAGATAATTCTAAATTATTTAAATAAATACTAATAGTATGACTAGGATATTTAGTCAGATTATACAGTTTACTCAATTTAGCTCCGATACACCGAGATTTTGTGCCTTTACACCAGATATACCCGTGTACTGTATACATGTCGCTGCCGAATTGTACAATTCATTTTACTCGTATAAACATATAACAGGTGGCCATTTTAAAAAGTTTCTGTATTATAATTCGGTGGGCCAGGTTTAGATATAAATCACACTTTTGTAGGTTTACATACACTACAGAGATATTTCTAAAATAGGTACTTTTTTCCTTAATGCCAACGTATTACAAAACGGCTGCATTTCAAAAGGCTGGCCTTTATGTAACAGTGAATGCTACAATTAGGTTGGCGACAAGTATAATAAATGATTCTAATTACTATAGTTACTAGTACAATATATTTATGAATTTTGAAGGTTGTCAATTAAGTTTAAATCATGTTTTCGTTATTGAATTGAATTAGATATATCGTTGATAGGAAATATATTTAGTGTTTAGTCTTTCTGATAGCTTGTTGATCTCTAAAATCTTTGTATATTTCGATGATGACTCCGCTAAGGTTTCTGAAGCTTCGCTTGTGGTGATATTTCTACGCGATACGTAATTTCGTGATATTTGTAATAGATATATGAGCCTTATTATATTTTTTAAAGTTAAGAATGTCCTACTTAATATTACTATGAAGTAATCTGGATTGTTTTTGTATATAAAATGTTATTTTTACTATAGATTGCTCCCTTATTATATGATTATGTGCTTATATTTAAAGTCGTTTTCTTTTAATTAAAAACGTGTTNAACAGACCACGCGGACGTTGCCCAGGGTGCACCACGAGGAGGTCGCTCACCATCGCACCCCACATAATGAGCCACCATTACGCTGACCTATATGATACGAAAATATGAAACTCATTGATATTTAAGGTAAGCTAATCTCGATAAAAGTGGTTTCGATATTTATGTCTTTATGCAAAAATGAAAACATGCCACCAGATAGAAAGTTCTAGTTATATGATTCCTATCCAAAAAGTAAGTACATATACGGTATTTCTGCATTTAAAAAAATATTTTGTGAATTTGGGAATGTGGTTTTGAAATTTCTTCTATTTGTTGTTCTATTGGCGTATTACTTTTTGTTTTATTTTTGTAGGCCCTTGCACATTTTTCAAGACGACCAAAGGCTCGGTTGCGGTGGCGTACAAGGGGCACAACTACCACAAGAACTACGAAGGCAAGGACGGGATCATATCGTGGTTGTGTGCTAGGAGGCCGTGTAGGTGCAGGATCCGGACGCTGGGGACAGAAGTTTTGAGCATCTCTCGCCCTCATCAACATGAATGAAGCGTTCGTCATCATCTATTCTAATATTATAAAGAGGTAAAGTTTGTGTGTTTGTATATTTGTTAAATTGTAAGGGGTAATCTCGGGATCTACTGAACCGATTTTAAAAATTCTTTCACCAATAGAAATCGACATTATTGCTGAGTGTCATAGGTTATATAAAAAACCGAAAAATTCCACGCGGGCGAAGCCGCGGGCGGAAAGCTAGTGTCGGATAATTTTGTTGATGAAGCAATTATTTATTTATTTATGAATAGAACGGTAGTACCAATTACACTATTAAACAAGTATTATTAGGAGCTAGAATTATATTTTCTATTGGTGTGAATGCCAATTAAACGAGTGTTTTGTAATTGAAATAAATCTTCAAAAGAGCTATTTTATCTGAATCATTATTTACATATCCACTATTTGATGAAACCCCCTATTGATACTGGTGTAATTCAGTGCTTCGTCCCACAACCCTTTCGTCGCAATGGGACAAATCACTTAATTTATAAAATACATTATACAGTGTGAGTCACGTTAAAGTGTACATATGAAAATAGATGAAACTAGACCTCTTTTTATCGACAAAAAAGAGGTCCAAAAATTTTTGAGATTTTTTTTTAATTTTTTATAGAATTTTCTTTCTTCCAATTACTTATTGTAAAGAAAACGTAATAACTTTTAAACTAAGAGGTACATCCTGATAAAATAAAAACAGTAATAATGCTAAATAACAGGCGATGCTAAAAAAATACATTTTTTTTTTCCCTTATTCTATTGCAATCTGTCTTCTGGAGGACATTCAGCAATATTTCTGTCCATTATTTATCAGTGGAAATTGGGATGCATATCCTGTGACATGTNTATACACTAGGGTGGGTCAAAAAAATTTTTTTTGAGTAATCGATTTCTAATAGCGAAAATATGTTGTAGTTAGGTATCATTATAAACCCTTTAAAATATTATTGAATTATTTTAAGTGGAACAGCCCGCGCAACGTCATTGAAGTTTTGAAAAAAAAAGTTTCAGTATCAACTTTTACACCCTAAGTTACACGTTTGAAGTTGGGTATAGTTTAATGTTTTAATTAATATCCATTGAAATACACGTTACTTCTGTTAGAAACCGTGTTGTTTATTAAAAGACAATTTTTTGAAGTAAGTACATTCAGGCTAGTTTCTTCTGAAATCATGTGAAATTATAAATTTTGTAATTTTTGTTTTATGCTTTGGAAGTTAAATTTTTCTATCATGTCAGATAATAGACAGTCATACAAGTGTCCTATATTAGTAACTATAGAAGATATAAAAGAAAACGAGTTACCAACACACCAGTAGGCCTAAGATGCGCGCCGTGATAACTTTTATCGACGTCAATTTGTATGGGCAAAATCGATAAAATGACGTGATAACCGCCTATCACGGCGCGCATCTTAGGCCTANAGGGATTTTACCGCGAAAATAGGCTACGTAAGCCATCTTCGGGCACACCAGCGCCGCCAAGACAGCTAGGAGTCGGAGTGGTCGCCATGGCCGAAATCGGTCGGATGGATCATCATCACTTTTGAAGTGCTAAACTTAATTTTGATGCTAAATATTACATTGATCTAAAAAACTGGCAAGATACCAACTTTGATCCACCTATTCTAAGTAATCATACCAATGACGAACTTATTCAGATAATAGAGAAAAAAGGTGACGAAAGGATGTTGTATATTAGGCTGCCTTGACATACACAGGCGATTGAACTATGTGTAAGGATAGTGACAGAAACTGCAATATCGGCATGTGATAAAAAAANAGATAATAATGCTGACAAAACATACCTACTACCAGACTGTACCAAAAAATCGTGTTAAGTACAAAGTATTTTCTCGTTTTTAAACAATTCTTTTGGGAAGTTATGTTTTAGGGTAGAAATTTCTTATATTGTGTTGTTTATTGGCGTAATAGTTTTTGTTTTATTTTTGTAGGCCCTTGCACATTTTTCGAGACGACTAAGGGCTCGGTCGCGGTGTCGTACAACGGGCACAACTACCACAAGAACTACGAAGGCAAGGACGGCGTCATTTCGTGGTCGTGTGCCAGGAGGCCGTGTAAGTGCAGGATCCGGACGCTGGGGACACAAGTTTTGGGAATTATTCGTTCTCATCACCATGACTGAAGCGTTCGTCATCATGTCCGAGAATTTTGTTGATGAAGCAATTATGAGCTGGGAGAAGTTATAATGTTGTGTGCAGTTTTTGCCCTTAAACATAAATATCGGAAAATATTCTATTAGTGTGAATGCCAATTAATTGCGTGTGTTGTTAAATAAATCTTCAAAAGAGGTATTATTTGAATCATTATTACTTACATATACACTATTGAAACCCCCTATTGACACTGGTACATTATTCAGTGCTTCGTCCACTCCCACGACCCTTTCGTCGCAATGGGACAAATCACTTAATTTATAAAATACATTATTTTTCATTCTGCGATTCATCCCATTGAGTTTTTTTCCTTATTATAAAACATTTCTTCACACTATTATCAATAAAAAAGAAGTTTTATTAAATTAGTATCAATTTTAATAAAAGTGGTTTAGATAATAATGCTGACAAAACATACTACCAGACTGTAAAAAATCGTGTTAAGTACAAAGTATTTTCTCGTTTTTAAACAATTCTTTTGGGATGGTATGTCTTAGGGTAGAAATTTCTTATATTTTGTTGTTTATTGGCGTAATAGTTTTTGTTTTATTTTTGTAGGCCCTTGCACATTTTTCGAGACGACCAAGGGCTCGGTCGCGGTTTCGTACAACGGGCACAACTACCACAAGAACTACGAAGGCAAGGACGGCGCCATATCGTGGATATGTGTTAAGAGGTCGTGTAGGTGCAGGATCCGAACCCTGGGGACAGAAGTTTTGGGCATTATTCGCTCTCATGACCATGATTAAAGCGTTCGTCATCATGTCAGAGAATATTGTTGATAAAAAAATTTATNAAAATTTTAAAGCGCATGCGCGGGCTGAAGATGTATGTTTAAATATCCGTTTTTTAGTCAAAACTACTTTTTATAGTACACTACAACATAATATTACTATTAGAATTTGATTCATCAACTTTTATTTTTTTCCATACTAGAGTGACCCACCCTATTATACACGTTTATCCTTTATTTATGCGGTGAAATACGAAAACTTCTGCCTTAGAAGGGTCTTACCAATTAAAAGCGGGAAGTTTAAACGAATGTGTCTTCATAATGAGCCACCATTTTTTTTTTTCGTCGGGAAATGCTTTTCGCATACCCACTGGTCTATGGGGACGGCCAGTGGGTTATGTGGGACTCTCCCCACCTACCCACTAAAGGCGGGGCCTACCCACTAAAACCCGACGGTTTCCACCAGAGCCCAAAGAAACGGAGCCGCGAGTTATTGTCCTGGTTGGACATTCATCCGCAGCTCCGCCTCAGGCTAGAGGCTCGCTTACGAGCAAGCCTCTCTGGCTTCGAGGGAACTCCCAGTCCCCTCCTCCAGTTGTTTTTTTATAGAGGTTTTCTCCTCGCGGCCCTGGTATAACAGGACCCCCGGCCCGCCGTAGCGGGTTACGGNTTTTGGGATGTTATGTTTTAGGGTAGAAATTTCTTATGTTTTGTTGTTTATTGGCGTAATAGTTTTTGTTTTATTTTTATAGGCCCTTGCACATTTTTCGAGACGACCAAGGGCTCGGTCGCGGTGTCGTACAACGGGCACAACTACCACAAGAACTACGAAGGCAAGGACGGCGCCATATCGTGGATATGTGTTAAGAGGTCGTGTAGGTGCAGGATCCGAACCCTGGGGACAGAAGTTTTGGGCATTATTCGCTCTCATGACCATGATTAAAGCGTTCGTCATCATGTCAGAGAATATTGTTGATAAAAAAATGATGATTGACAGATTTCGCCCTAAAATTGAGTTTCTTTAAACATAAATTTCCGTAAATACCTCGGTATTCTATTAGTTGAAATGCTAATTATTTATTTATTTAATTAAATGCATATATTTTTAACTTCAATACATTTTCATTGGAAGTTGTCATATAAATACCCATTACAATATGGCAGAATAATCAGTGCTTCGTCCCACGTCCTTTTCGGCCCATTGGGACGAACCACTAAATTTATAAAATACTACGTTTCTTCATGCAAATATCAGCAAAATGATTTTTTGATTATTATCAATTTTATTTTTTATCACAAAGTAAAACCTTTTCTAATAAATATTGAAATATCAACACTATTGGTTTTTGTATCTAAACAGTATTTCGGGGGCTTCGTTCGTAGTTGCTTACTGACGTGTGCGTAAGGGATAGCAGTGACGAGATTTATGATCTCACAGTGTTATTACACCTGTAGTATGGAATATAATTTTTACTTATATTTTTTTACTTTGTAGGCATCGCAGGACCGGTCGTTATGGAAAGCCTTGAGGCAGGCCTTTGTCCAGCAGTGAACGTCATTTGGGTGAAACGAACGAACCTTGTAGACATGAAAATATCACAACCAGAACCTTCACATAACCTAATTGATTTTGATATAATGAAGTCACAAAGAGGCAATTCTCTTCTTGTACGTGGCGGCTACAAATTTAACAAAGAGAGAAAAAATAAAGATAATTCAATCGTTTGGCGGTGTGTACATAGAAATATTTGTAAAGCAATTCTAATAACTACTTGTAATAATGCGATAAAAAGAGAAGACAAACACGATTGCCAGTATATTGCCAGCTAATATGACAAACTTTTTCAAAAATATAAAAATATAATTGTGTCAAATGTAACGCAAATACCAAGCATCCCATTTCGCGACACTGTTGGGGAAATCAAGGACTCGGAATTACATTTGATAAACAAAATACTTGTTGATATTTGTTGATTTTCTTGATACAGATAAAGTTCACAAATCGTTATTTTGTGTTTTATTCATATCGAAACTAATATTGCACTGCTCACTGTACTTATAATAAATACAATGGGGCGATTCGCACAAACAAAAGTATTTTTGTTATTCAGTGATTCGTCGACGAAAGGATTGTGGGACGAAACACTGAATTACGAATACTCAGCTGTTGTAGAAGGGAGGAGAAGAAGATTTTTAAAAAGAAAGAAAGAAAATGTAAATTATGTAATATGTATTGTAGTCTTTCAAAACTGTTTTTTATGATGCTTATGTATCTTTTAGAGTCTCTCGATTACTATTTCGGGAAGAGCAAGTTCGGGAATACTATGTTGATAGTGGGGGAGAACCGGTACAAGCTGGCTTCGGTGAAGAAGAACAAGAAGCAGCGCCTACGCTGGCGCTGCATCAAGACCACCACCCACTGCAACGCTTTCGTTGTCACGGAGAACGAAAAGATTGTGGCCATGTCTGACGAACACAGCCACTGACGAAAATCATTGTTGATGATATTATATTTTAAGCCTAGGCGCAGACCGTTGATTTTTCGTCGGCTGATAGTTTAGTCGGGCAGTTAATCAGTATGGGCATGTATGGAAGTGCGCACATTACGCCGATTCGATTTGGTCGATTCTTCATACAATTTAAAATCGGGCACAACTATCGGCCAACTTAAAATCGATGGTCTGCGCCTAGTCTAAGCCTTCCACTTGAGCATGCTTTGGCGAATAAGCGACTCTACCAAATGGGTCGCTCATTCGTCTGAGCATCATCATTAACATTATTATTTGAGCCACAGGACGTCCACTCCTGAACATAGGCCTCCCCCAATGATTTCCACATCGCCCGGTTGGTAACGGCCTGCATCCAGCGCCTTCCTGCTATCTTTATGGGGTCATCGGTCCACCTTGTGGGTGGACGCCCCATGCTGAGCCTGCTCAAATGGACACAAGGCTTAATAGTGTTACTTATTTATTTATTTATTTATTATTCATTATTGAGCAATTACATATTTGATCCAAATAGCGTCCTAAATCCTTTTTAGGTTTGTCTAGACACTATTGTTCTCTATACAAATAAAAACNATAGTGTTACTTGGATACGTTATTTATGTCAGTTGTGGTGTTACTGTAGTTTTTGTTGTAAAATATAAAGTATTGAAAATACTTATAGCCCAAAACACATTCGCAAAATGGTCGTTATTAATTATGTATTACTTTGGACTTTTTTGTATTTTTACGTAGAGTTGTTGAATATTAAATATTTTTAATATAGATTCTCTTAATACTGTATGGTACAGGTTAGTTTTATGGCTATAGAAGGTACTGGATTTTATAATGTAAAAACTAAAACAGTGATTTTAGATAACTTTTGAAAATTCAAAACAAATATTTTGAAGTTTTGAGTTTTTGAAGCAAACATGTTCAGAAGTGATAGTTTCATTTGCCATCTTGTGAATTATCTGTGTTATTGTGTCCAACTTAATAAGATGATATCTTATTTAAATGTTCGTTTACTTAATACACTTTATAAAGAAAAGCTGTTTCAGTATTGATATTTTTGTTAATATGTCCTACCTAAGAGATAGAAATAAGTCTAGATAAATATAATTAATCAGTTCTTTATGCCTCATGGATTATTTTATTTCAGCTGCAGAGATGGATTATTATTTTGATAAGAGCAAGTTTGGGAATCCTGTGTTGGTGATTGGCGCCCATAGGTTCAAGTTCATGAAGGCCAATGGCAAGACGAAGAGGTGGCTTTGTATCAAGACCATCCAGAAATGCTCCGCGTTCGTGGTCACGGAAGACGATCTCATAGTTCGAATGAGCATTTCACATACACACTAATATTGTATTTACAATTTTTTTTAATTTATCAATTTTAGTAACATAATTGTTAAAATAGAATAATTTTAATGCTAAGTGTTTGTGTTTTACTTAAAGTTTATCATCATCATTGTCACCGTCTAAAGAAATTATTGAATTTGTTCACTTTACTTAAGGTAAAAAAGCATTTACGTCGTGGTTTTTTTATTTTATCTACAATTTTTCCAAATATTATGTCTGGTTGTAGACACTGAGCTGAACTATCATTTCGAGAAAAGTGCATATGGGAATCCTGTGCTCGTGGCCGAACCCTATAGGTACAGATTCATGAGGATGAATAGCAACAAGAAGAGGTGGAGTTGCATCAAATGCTCTGCCTTTGCTGTCACCGTAGATGACGTCATCGTCAAAATGAGCGCTAACCATAATCATTAATAAAATAATTTATAATGTTGTTGAAATAGATGATTTTCCAAAAGCTTTTTATTTATATCGCATGCTCTATTATTATAATATTTTATTTACTAAGACTAGTTACAAAATTTCGGTTAAGCATGTAGATTAAGTCCCTTTTACAAATCCTA